ACCGAACCCGAACGGTTCCATAATTATATTTGGACCTGACGGGGCCATTTATTAAATAGCCGAAAATCTTGGGTCGGTTCAGGTCTCTTCAGAATCGAACCGAATTGACCAACGGACAGCCCTAAGTAAACATACCTAGTACCATGTAGAACTAGAGCATGTTTGAACTCATTTTTGCCCAAAATGCATTATTGAATAATATTTTGATAAAGAATGTGTGGTTAAAAAATAAGAAAAAATTTTAAATTTACGTGTAATGTTATTTTATTGAAGAATGCGTGATTAAAAATAAAAGAAAGAGAAATGTATTTTGAAAATAGAGGGGATCGAACTATATTGTATAATATTACTATATTTTGTTTTTTAATTCTTGTCCAACCCATCGTGACTTAGAATTTATAGTCATTGACACTGAACTGGAGGAGCAATGTGGACACATATAGATTTTTCCCATGTTGACTAGGTAAGGAGACCGTAGCTATAAGGCTAAGGACACTTGGACTCGAGAATCTCATGCCACCGAGAGACTAATATAATATATATTTGGAGCATTGGAATTTCAAAAGCTTATTTTCTATTTATTTTTTATTTTAACTAACAAGAAGTTATTTATTTAAATGGAAATTCTTAAAGCTCAAACATAGTCATCCCTCGAGTCTCATTACATATTTTATTCATTATTTGACGTTCAAATATGACGGTTCTTTCATAAATTGAAGAAAAACTTCAATATAACGATCGTATTATTACAATCGGTAAGATCGATCAATTAAATTATGAATCATTCAAATAATTGCACCTCGACATCTGAAAATCGTAAGGAAAGAAACAAAGTGGACATTAGATGCTCGATTTGTCAGATACGAAGTGTCATAAATTAAATGGACAATTCTACTATTTGTGCATATAAAAATTGTATTATCAAAAGTTTTCTTCATTTATTGACCCCAAATAACCTTGCTTCAAACACCTTGACCAGGGTGACCACTTGTCTCCATGTATTCAATTGAACAATTAAAACATATTGTAGAACAGTATTTAAAAAAAAAAAAACTTAGCACCCAGTGATTTACAAATAAAATTTTATTGTTATATTAAAAATTTTCCTTTTAAAAGGTCTATTAGTTTTAGACAACACCCACAAAATATATTCTTGTTGAATTATGGAATTTCGATGGAGCTCTACTTGACATGGTGTCAAGGATCGCAGCTTCAACTAGTTCATTAACCCAATTGCAGCTGCAGTTTTCCCAATTTCGATCGCACATTGTAAATATTTTATTTCAATTGTAAAATAGATATAATATTGGAAAAGTTTAGTATGATTCCTCCGCATTTAAACGTATACTCATATCACTTAGATTTTTGTGTAGAATGCTATTATAGGGGGTATTAGTTTTTTAAACAATCTTTTAAGTTTTTTAGTGTTCACCATCTACACTAGTCATAGTAATTTCCTACTTTCAGCAATTGTAATTTCTAGCTTTCAAGCAATCAATGATTAATTTACTTTCAGTGCATTTCAATTTCATGTTACAAACTTTCTACAAATTGTCTTTCGTCACGAAACGACCGAGAGAAGGCGGAAGATGGTCTAACGAAGCAGACTACTGTTACACGATATTCCTTTCTGTGTCAAGAAGAAAGACACCCCATGAAACATAGTGATACCAATATTGTCCCTTGCTCAAGGACAGAGAGGCATAGAACGTGAAAGACACCATAGTTCCTAATAAACTCGCGTATTTCTTACTCTAATATGCATTTTTTTTTTTTTTTTGTTCTTGTTACCGTGTTGGAAGGGTTCGACAACATAAATGTGGACTTCATTTTGTTGAGATTGAAATATTAGTAATTTTTCGTATGGGGTATTGTTGAAAGAATAGTGAGGTTATTTAATCAAATTCGAGGTGCTATAGAGTATCAAAAGATGAAATATGAATATGAACAATTCCAATAAGACATCATTTTTTGTTTAATTTCATCTATTCCATAATCGAAATAAGTGTGGATACATGTTACACCATACTTTTAAAATAGGATAAAAGGGATTTCTCCTCAACAAAAACGAAACTTGAACCCAATCTTGTTGACCTAGAAAAGCTTCACTCTTACTACTCGTGATAAGCCCTCAACCTTATCAAAATTGAATTATTAAATTTTTACTTTTATTTCGATCTAGACAATCCTACCAAATTCGTTATTTTGTTTAATAAACAAATGATGTAGCTTGCGTAGACAGATAATTTGTGTCTACCTTTGCTTAATTCCGAAACGAGATTGTTACATTATTCCATATTTCAAAGGAAAAATACGTAGCTACCAAAATTTTAAATTACACTTTCAAATTTAACAAATTTGATGAAATCTTTCAAAAATTAGGTGGTCACATTTTGTGACCTATATTTAACCAAACGTGTCTCAATCACAATAAAGTACAATTTATGATCTAGTCTGACTAATTACAAATCACACATGGTCGATGTCACGTAACACAATTTATGAGTCACAAAATTAGTTGTTACAAAATTAGTTGTTTGATTCTCATTATTTTTAAAACATATTTTCCTTTTTATTCTTTTCAACCACACATTTTTTAATAAAATAATATTACACACAAATCGAAATTTTGTTCTTATTTTTCAACCACACATTCTCTATCAATCTACTCTTTCAAAATGTATTCTTATGATAAAATTGGGCTCAAACAAGTGGAAATTGCAAGAAATGTCCACTTTCTTCTAGCCACTTGCAAAAATGACAACTTTCAAAAAT